CTCTGCTCAGTGTGACCTCAGATGGAGCCTTTGGGTGCTGCCACAACCACAGACGTACACCATTAGGGCTGTGCTGCAGGACGTGGCCCTGGGTTCCAGCTCCACAGAGCCCCACCTCAGAGCTCCCTGTCCTGTACCCACACAGCCCCACTGCGGCCCCAAAGGGGAGGAGGGCTGCTTTTCCCACCACCACTCACCTGCATCACCCACAGGGGCTCCCGTTGTGCCTTTGTGACGCAACCCCACTTTTGGGTGCAATCAGGGCATGAAGCTGATAGCTGCCCTGGCAGCAGAGAGGAACGGCTCTACCTTCACCCCACTCCTAGAACGAGGTGCCAACCCAACTTAGCTCCTGAAGGACTGAATTTACTAATACTAGGCCTTGATCCATACCCCAAAGCAGCATGTTTAAAAGAACTCTGACTTGCTGCAATCTTAACTATTAACTACATCAAAAATGGTGAACAATCCACACCTTCGTTTCATTAAAGGCATGCAAGTAAACTCACCAGATAACACCAGGTATAAATATAGTTATTTTCCTTTCTTTAAGGAATGTGTGGTTCTCAATCCAGTTTTAGGATTACACTCTAATCTCAGTCCCTGGACAGTCTGTGCCCACGTACCCAGGATTAGAATTTAGCCCTACAGCCTCTCCAGGAGTACCTCACCCAGTTAAGAAGACATATTTCATGGTCCTGGAGTCCATAATGTTGGTATCATCATCTTCTTCATTTCCAGAAGTCATTTATTTTACTGATTGTGGTTTCTTGAACAACTAGTCTCTAACTTTAGGACTCCTAGCATAGTTTAAGAACAAAACCCTTGATACAACAGTTAATAACACTAGAATATTAGCAATAGTGTTTGGTTTGTTTTTTTCAAACAAAATCTGATTTCTCAAGCAATCAGGACCTTTCTCTAAGAAGGGACTCAATGGGAACAGAAATGAGACTATGCATGAGTTGCTCCATATGTTTCACCCAAAAGCTTGCATACGTGTTTATATTATATGTTCAACTGATTTCTCTGGCATAAATTTACTTGAATTTGAAAAAATACTCAGCTTCTCCCAAAAAGTCTGCAGATCCATTCATTGCAATGGTATACCAAAAACTGTTCTTTAAAAATGCTAATTACGTGTGTTTGATGTAGATCAAACCACTATTAGCTAATGAAACCTTAAAGCATTTAACTACAAAATAAGTCTTCCAACAAACCCACACCAGACATAAGATGCTGTTATGATATGGACACACAGACCTGCTACAGACATTTTGAATCTGCACACCAAATAATGAGATTTCCAAACACTTGTGGTTCATGAAGTTCGTGTCTTGCCATGTCTTGTCTAATAAACTGAGACAGAATTAGTACTGGGTGAGTGGTTCTGCCTGCTGTCAAGAAGGGTTTGCTAAGGGTAAGACTCTAAAGGTAGAGATTAACTTGTCTTCATCCCTGTAATGTGCTGTACAGCCAGGATTTGTGCAATAGGATCAGAGAAGAGCCATATATGAATGCAACGCCAGACAGCTGGTGTGTATGAATTTATATGAACTTGGCTGTAGGATTCTGAGCTGCTCTCAAATCCCAGCTAATATATGTATCAGGAGCGTACTTTCCCTGCATCTGATCTTTTTGTTCCCTCTTCTCCCAGAGACAGCTTTTTTTTTTTTTGCTGAAGTTGGTTTCTAATATGCTAATCACTGTGATAACAGTAAGAACCTCCATTAAATACCTTGATTTTGACCTGTCAATCACAGTCCCAGCTAGGTAGCTCAAAAAGGCATCAATCCAAACAGCGTAACATAAACCAGTATAGTTCAGCATCTCCTCCTGACACAAGGTCAAACGGGAGTCTTACCATTAGGATGTTAAGCCAGGTAAGTATCCTACCTGATCAGCTCAGTGCTTCCTTGAACAGGAAAATCAGGGAGGTAAGTAATTTAATACAGCTAACACACACATACAAAGTGTGTCATTTACGTAAGATGTGCATCACACGGATGTCCTGACATGAGCTTAGGAAAGCAGCACCATTTCAGTGGAAACAGCATCTGAGGACTTTTACCAGAAATACCAGAGGTTTTTTATACATTTGAGAAGAAATCTGAGAGAAGTTACATAGGGCTGACTGGCACAACAGAAAACAAGACAAGATAGAATGACTTGATGGAGCAACTCAGGTGAAAACCCTCCTCTTGGCACACGAGGGCTCCAGCACTGGGGCAGTGGAAGCAGTAACTGACTGCTTCAGTGGGAGAAGATGCAGATGAACTTTTGAGTCATACTGTTCCAAGGCTTTTTTGTTATAAGTTGCTGCTGTCATGAACGCTGCCTGAAAGTGATGCTCTATAAGTCTGGGTGTATCTCTATGAGATAATTATCAGTAATGGCTAACAAGCTACCAAAACATATGGATCAAGTGCACTATGGTGCTGCTGTATACGCTGCGTATGGAATCCCACTTTTAGTGGGAATTATAACATTTGAAAGAAAAAACCTCAATTTTTAAAAGAAAGAGTTTGAGAAAAGTCTCAGGTAGTCCCACTTCAGCTCTGAAAAGAGACTATGAGACAGTGTCAACAGGCAGCATACCACACAAAATCCATATTTGTATGAGGAGCTGCACGGGCTGTACAGAAAACACCACCAGGATACTGATGCTAATGGTTTCACACCAGTAACCACCACTGATGTGAAAACAGGAGGGCTGTATTTGATCCCACATGGAGGCTGCAGTTTGGGATCAAAATAGATGGATCTTTTCCCAGCAGGTTTTCCGTAATTCCACACTTTCAAAGTTGCACCAGGGGAGAATGAAGGGGTTTTCACTGCAACAGCAGATGTGTAGAAGCTCCAGGAAGGCCTGATAAGGATTGTCTGATAACACTTGTACGTTTTTCCCCAAACTGGGACAGTTTCCCTAGAGCAAAGTGTGTCCCCAGCTATTAACAGAACAAAGGACCGAATCATGCTAGCAGGTCCTAAATAGAACAAGCAGTACAGCTTATCAGTCATCTGACAGGTGAAACCTTATTAGTGCTAACACTGACTTTCTTTTTTTATCTTGATTTCATAAAACAGTAAGATAAAAACCTCCTGTTTCTTTCATGGCAACCACTCAGACCTTTAGTGGTTGCTTTGCGCCTTCCTGCTCTGCAGCCAGCTGAATAGGGATCAGGATGAGGTTTATAACTGCAGCTTTGTTTTCCTGAGCATTCAGTACAGAGCTCTCATGGGTGAGCAGAAAGCACCTCATGGATTGATACAGTATGGTAAATACCATCTCTGCAGTTGCCACCTATTTTTTGAGCTGTTGTAAAGTTTAGTTCAGCACTAAATCGCTTTAGTACTGAGCTTTAAAATGCTTTAGGAGCTCAGAAGCACTTTGGCAGCTCAAATGCTCTTCGTGAGGCACCCAGCATCCTAAACCGCTTTAAGTTTAAAGTACCCTAAAAAAAAAATCAAATGGAAACACGTCCAGCAGCACACGTTCAGATAGCTATGTCAAAAACAAAGGGCATCGTGGTGTTCTTCTTGGTTTGGATACGGTTATCTGCATCCAAAAAGGCCTCAATCTTGGCCAACACAGAACGTAGCACTTACAACATTTACAAACATGGGGAACATCTTTATTCTAAGGGGACTCAACAGGTTTGGTGCAAATATGACCTCGATTCACAGTCAGTAAGGTTGAAATGACTAACATGCTTACCCTTCAGAAAACTGACCTTAAGGCTGAGACCAAGGATATTCACCATGCCATGCATGCTCACTGGTTTAAAGATAAAGCCTGTGGTGGCTGGACCAGCCTTGTGCTCACCCCTAACCGTGCCCACTTGTCACACCCTATTTGGTCTCAGTGGTGGCTTTATAGCACTGCTGTCATTGTGGGGGGTCACCAAAATGAAACGGATCCCACAGTGGGATTTCATCATAGCAGCTCCGGGGAACACAGGCATTGACTCAGTAAGACCAAGAGCAGGCACAACAGAGTATAAGAACGAAAATACATTCCAGCCTGCAAAGCAAGCAAGTTTAACATAAATGTGAGGAAAAATAAAACAAGCCAACGGGCTAAAAGAGTTCCTGGAGAAGGCTGGCATTTACACTGATAATCCTGTGTAGATCATTGCCCCCAGATCCTGAGCAGGGTGCTTTGTGATTACTCATTCCCTCGCTATCAGGATCACTTGTAATCTAGCCACCTGCTTGTTTGGGCAGACTCAGAAATGCTGATGCAATCCACCTCAATGAAGTACAGCTATTCAACAATGCATTAGTAGTGCAGTTTTCTGTCTAGATCTCTGCTGTTCATCTGACTTCATCTACCCATAAATCTGACTTTTTTAATCACTATTTTCATCACTACAAAGCACATACATTCTTTTACCTTTTTCATGTCACTTGGCAGTCTGAAGAGATTGATGTGATTTGGAACTGCTTACTTCTGCCACTTCTTTCCATCTCTTTCAGCTAGCAGACAGGGCCCTATACGATCACAATTCCCCATTTAGAACAGGGATATTTACCTTATAGGCTATGAGTTCATGTCACAGTTCTCAGGGCTGCAGTCAAACGATATTGGCCTCAAGACATCCTTCTGAACAGCTGATACTTCACAACATCCTGACTTGCCCCACACAGTAAGACCAAGAACACTGAACAACTCAGTATAAACAGAAACATTTGCACTGTTCTGAAAACTCAAAGTTTCTTTCTGATAACCAGTATAATCCCCAAGCACTGAAGGGCATGGCTGTGACTGCCAGAAGGACTACTTGCTTATCTGAGCAATAACTGGTATAACCTGCCAATTCCTTGCATCATTGGATGTCTCCTTCCTTTCTTTGGACCTGTCAATCCAGTTCTTTACCTTGGAAAAGTTGCTGCCGTCTCCTTGAAGTATGAATCCACGAGATCACATGAGAAAAATGTCTATCCTGGGGGAACAGGGAGCACTGGAAGAAAAGCACCTCTATCGTCTAGCAAGCGGCATGGCAGCAGGAGGTAAGCAGGAAGAAACCCAACTAACTCCATGTTCATTTACAGAACTGCTAATCTCTGCAGAGATACCTTTAAAAAGGTATCTCAAGTTTGTCTTAGGAATAATTGGAGAAATATTTCTCCATTAAAGTAGTTAAAAGTTACCATGGGAAATTCTTGGCATCCAGAATTTGATCAAGAGATGCAAAGCAGCTGGAAGAGGGGTCAAGGCCACAGAGGAACTCAGCAACAGAAGTGTTACCTGGGCATTGTGAGGTTCTGCCATACAGCTGCAGGCTCTTTCCAGAGCTTCTGCCTCACTGCAGGTCCCAGCTAATACAACTACTTTAAAGGAAAATGGCATTAAGAATGAAACTCTCTCAAGCAGAGAACTTAACATTTCTGGCTGTTTAATAGTGATATGTGAATTATTGCTCGTTGTAAGCTGTCCTTTTACTCACTTGACAGTGCACATTCTGTTTAGTTTTGCGACTGATTGCATAAAACTGCACTATTTAAACAAAGTGGTTAAGGTGGCAGTGAAGTTGTCTTTTTCTTAGACGATGTTGCTAAGAAAAGCGTGATTTGCTAATTCATACAGAAACTATTTTTCTGCTAGAGTTTTACTACAGAAAGAATCACTTTCTGTGTGTGCTTTGTGCCAGAACTGCGGCAGCGACAAGAGATGCTCATGAGGAACCAGCTGATGGCAGTGAACCCTCAGCTGATGGGCACAGCCCAGCAGAGAATGCAGGCAATCCCCTCCCAGTTTGAGCCCCGGCTGGTTGACAGGTATTCTGCAACGCTTCTCTGTAGCAACACTGCAGATACAGAATAAACAGTCCTGTGCCGTCCTCGAGTGCCTAAAAATCTCGCATTACTATTAACTGAAGAATGTGCCCTTCTGTGTCTGAACGTGTGTTTGTCTTTCAGAGATCTGCTACCTTCAGCTGAAATGACGGCCACGGCCGACCCGAGGCAGATTCACATCGCGTCGCACCTGGGGCCCGCAGTCCCGCAGCACAGCAGCATGCCCAGCCTGCTGCCCAGCCGCATCTACCCAGGCCCAGGTAGCAAAGCATTGCCTGCAGCAACCAGGAGCTTTCTGAAGCTTTACCACCAGTGTCTACAACACAGCCCTGCTGTCCCTTTCCTTTACAGACACTGGCAGGTGCACCTAACTACACGCCTGGTGCCAGGCTTCGTGCTTCTCCTACTTATTCCCACAGAGGCAATGAACACAGATAGCATTTAATTTAACTCAAAGTTGTTCTGGCTTGCTGGCAAAGCACACAGTTTGAGTCTTGAAAAGCTCTTAAAGTGCTTCTGCACGGCTTTGGGCTTTGTGTGTTTGCTTGAGGAAAAAGACTAAAGACTTTTCTTCCTCTTCCTTTAAGGGTATGGCTTTCTCCAACCAGAATCCATGGAGGCTGTGGCCAGAAGACAGGAACTGGTTCAGAAGCAAAATATTGCCAGGTACTGCCTGCAATAAGCTTTGCTGTGAGATGCAGCTGGGACTGGGGCAGCAGATGGAAGTCAGGAACTCACAGACTTTGTTGGGGCTTATTGGGGATGATTGAGATTCTTTTTCACATCACCCAGCAAACCAGAGGGCACTCCTATCTCTGAAGCCATTGAAATTTCTGCTTGCCCCTATTCTCCTTTAGCCTCAAAACGATACAAAGAAAAGAAACCAAATCCTCAGCCTGGTTAAAGAAACAAACACACTGCAGGTTTCAGACCCAGCCCTTGAACTCTGGATCCAAACACACCAAAGTTACAAAAAGTCAAAAACAAAATCAAATTCAAACTTTAGAGCCGTGCTACCGTATGCAATATCTTCAGCCTCCACAGCTGGGCTGCAGGGATGACTGAGCTGCACCTCTGCCCTGCCAAGGTGGGTGGGCAGCCTTCCTGCTGCAGTCAATCTGACTGGCAGGTTACCACAGACAGGTTGTTTGAATAGCACCAGTGCAATCAGTTGCTGGTAAGTAATCCCAAATGCCCTCCCTTACAGCCACACCATCTCCATCAACTCCAGCCCCAACCAGAGCCGTGCTGGGCTCCAGTGGTTGCAGCATCCCTTACACAGTAAGATTAAGATCAAAGAAGAGATACATCCTGATCACACATCTCAGAATTATGACAGGTGTGTCTAGAGCTCTTCAGTCAGCCAGACCTGATTACCAAACCCCCCATAGCACAGCACTTGAATCAGCACCGTGTTTCAGATAGCTTCTGCCACACGATAAACCCTGGAGAAAAACAAGTGAGGTGTCACACTCTGCTGTTTACCTCCACCTAAGAGCAGTGTGTGAGTAATGATAATTGGGCAAGATGTACAAGAAAATGGGGCACAGGCAAAACACCGTCACACACTGAAAGCAGGAAGTTGAGGATGCAGACTGTGGCACAGCTGAAAAGAGGGTAGAGGGAAAAAAGAACTGGACTGTAAGGAGTGATGAAACAGTCACCTGCTGCCCAAGAGGTTTTCTTGACAGTTCTAAGGAGAAGTCCCCCAGAAGTCAGCCTCTCTGTCCTGGTACTCTTATTGCAGTGTTTAGAAGGCCATCTAAGCTCCCTTTATGGGCTTTGTTGACCTCATAAACCCTTTTTCAAATAAGAATATAGAAATTCCACTGCAGATTTCTCAAAGCAAGAAAGGAAGCTGCAGCCCCTCTGCTTTGTGCTGTTAGATGGGCTCTGTTCTCCCATCTCTCAACTCCAGAATATTTACAAAATCACTGCCATTTTCCAGTTTTCAGTATAATTTCCTGATTAGAAATATTAATCGTTTATTTTCTGTAGCCTTTGGCCCTTATGACACCAGAGACACTTTTCCAAATCTGAAGAGAATGTAACCCCTTTTATAATGCCTGGAGTGCTGATACACAAACAACACTTCTCTTTTTCTTGTCTGAAATAGTGCACAGAGGTATCACATGACAAGTATATCTTATCTTCCTTTTAGTTTACTGTATGTACTTGGCAACATATTAAATATAGGCAAGCTCACCATTCCACCTGCAGTATTTATGACATCTCACAAATAGCAATACAGGGCAGAGGGATGAAAAGCAGTACTCTTTAACCTCTTCAACTATAGCTTGGTTTTAATCTGACATGAAAAAAAGAGGGGATCGAGGAACTGAGCTGCCCTGACTGCTCGTGCTCTGTGTGTCTCTTAGAATGGAGATGGAGATGAGTGCTATTTTTCAGCAAAAAGAAATGGAGAAAGCTCATCGGAAAGGACTGCTGAGCCTGGAAGCACCTTTCCTTTACCACGGGATGCCGGCCAGCCCCATTGCTTTCCGTGGAAGGCACAGGCTGCCTGAAGGACACCTTCCCAGTGACTTATATGTTCATCGTACCACCCTCGACGACATCCATGGTAACACCATGCTGATGGCCACCAGCCCCTACCCCCCCGTCAGCACCCTGCAAAGGGAGAGGAGCCGCCGGCCGGGGAGGAGAGCTGCAAACCACAAAGCTGCAGACTGCGGGGCCAGCGGCACCAAGAGCCAAGCTGAAGACAAAAGTACAGACCTGGCTTCCACTGCAGCAGATGATGAGAAAGAAGACAAGAAAGAGGCGGAGGTGGAGACGCCAAACAAACACGAACAAAGCAAAAATCAGGTGGAGCTGTCAGCAGCTGCCAAAAACTGCAAAGAGTTGGAGCAAGACTTGAGAAAAAACTGTGCTAATCACGAAATTTCTGCTGAACCCAACAGCTGCAACAACACAAGTGAGAAGGAGTCTAATAGCTCCTGTGCTGCTTTTGATGACAAGTACATGTACCCGTCCGCCATCCCGTTCTCAGCGCTACCATATGGATTTCCAGTTCCCAGCAACCCACTGCTACCTCCAGGTTTGTCAGGTCTCCAGATTACAGTTAAAATGGCATGTCAATAGTCACTGTCTTTATTGAATTGCTCTTATGTCATCTGCTTCTTTAAAGCAAATTTGGGTACAATAGTGGTGGCAACTTAATATAGAACTCATATGCTGCAAAAAGACTTGGTAAGTCCATGTCAACAATGGTAAAGAGTGGCTTTCCCTACCTGCAGACCTGCAGCTTCCTGGCACAGTGGGGGTTTCAGGGTTTATTTGCAGGGCAATGCAATGACACAGTGAAGTTGGCAGCACCTTAGGGTTCCCCAGGGTTCTGCTGGATGGGACGAGGAATCCCATTCAAGCTGTACTGCTTTAGGAGAACCTTGCCTTCTTCAGGAGCTCTACATAAGAGACAGTCACAAGGTCACTGTACAACAACCACAGTTTGTAAAGCTTTGAGGCTTTCAAATGTACAAATGGCACAAAACATCCCAGTACCTGACATGAGAACAGGCTGGGATGTTTGTGCAGGATCATTGACCAAAGATACCATCTCACTGAAAAAACAAACGATGCATGTTAACTATTCAGTTCCTGTCTGCAACAGGAATTCAAACAAAATCTCTGGATGAAGGTAAAACAGTGGTAAAGTATAACGAATCAACAGCACTGGATAATGCTGTTGGAAATGCTGCAGTGTGCTTTGTACATTCAGTGACTGGTATGTACAGTGCATACAGCAAATAAAAGCAAACCCTCCAAGACCAGTTACAACTCTCAAGTGACTCTGGCATCAAGGATTACCGTATCGGTGACTGCACGGTGCTGTTCATGCAGTGTACATAACCTTACGTCAACATTCTTCTCCTACTGGTTTGCCAGCAGAATTCTACAAAAATAACATCTGTGTTTCCTCCTTAAAGCAGCACATGGCCTGATCCTGAACGGAGAAGACATTTCCACCATTGAAGACATCCGCAAGTGGACGGTTGATGATGTGTACAGCTTCATCATTAGCCTCCCAGGCTGCTCCGATTATGCCCAGGTGATGACAAACACACCTAATGGTCACTGTCACATTTTAAGGTCTTTAAGATCATCTAGATTTAAGATCAGCAAATAAATACGACAAATACAGAGGCTTACTGGTTGTCACCATCTTACAAAACAGCAACCAACCAACCAACCAAAAAACAACAAAACCAACAGATGCACCAAACCAACACTAAGTAACACCAAAAGATTACTAAGTCCCCACTAAAAACAAGTAGATAAGCTACAGGAAAATGTGCAGATGTCCATACATCTGAACAAAGGACACCACACTGCAGTTACAAGAGAAACATGAAGATAAAACACTGAAATGATTTCCTCTGTCTGTTGTCTACAGCTCAGGGTTAAGCATAAAGAATAACTGGTGAATTCTGTTTGGGCACACCTCGATGTTATTTTCTTTTCATCAGATATTCAAAGACCATGCTATCGATGGAGAAACCCTCCCACTGCTAACAGAAGAACATCTCCTAGATACCATGGGATTAAAACTCGGGCCAGCGTTAAAAATCCGTTCTCAGGTAATATCAAATGTACCAAAACTAGCAAGTCATGCAGATGCAAAAGGCTCAGAAACAATCAAGATGTTTTTTTTCCAAACCAAACCACATTTTTTTCTCGCTCATAAGCTCATTGCTATAATAGTGGGGGAAAAGAAATTCCTCCAGCAGGGTTTGCTTTTGCATCTCTGCATGAAGCAGCAGAGGGTCAGTGGAGGTGGGGTGTCAGGACTGACAGTTTGAGAGATGCTCGGGGCAGATTCAGGACACAGCAGTGCTGGAGACTGGGCTGAGCCTGGTAATGCAAAGGTATTTGATGGATTTACTCCCTTGTATTCCTCTTTGTCCTTTCCAACGGTAAGAACTGTTCTGATACATACTTACTTTAGCTCCAATCTGACCTTTAAAACCCACCACGTAAAGGTTTCTACAGTCTTCCTGGGAATAGAATCTTAAATGATTTGTAGACAGGCTGTCCCTCTATGTTTGAAATTTTCTTCTCTTACTTTCATTGTGGATTTTGTTTACTTTTGTTAACCACTGCTAATCCTTGGAGGGGACAAGGCAGCTTCCAGGCCACGTCTCTGGCACTGCTACACAACAGCCAACCTTGACATTTATTGACAGCAAAATCACCTCCTGAAACAACCACTGCGATTTTGTTTCTGTCTTTGAAGGTGTCTCGACGTCTGGGCAATGTGTTCTACATGATGAACCTTCCCCTGTCCGTGCCCCTGCCTCCTGCTCCAGGCAAACCCCCAGAGCAGCCCTCCGACATCACCTCTCCTCTTCGCTGCAACAGCAGCGGCGATGCGTTGGACAGCCCCTGCTCACAGGGCCTGGAGACTTCAAAAACAGTGGAACAGATTGTTTCAGAAAGCAGGGATCATCCATGTGATGCAGATGGACCACAGGCTGATTTCCAGATGATCACCTTTCAGAAGAGTTGAGCTGGGCCCAAGACGTAAAATGTTTCTAATAATACAGGAGCCTTCAGTTATCAGATGTTTGAGAGGGTAGCTGCAGCCTGAAACCTCTGCATGGGATTGGGACTGAATGAAATCAACTGCACTGTGGTATCTGAAAAGCACTTAAAAACATAGGACTACGTATTAGTGCAATTACTTTCAAGTGCAATTCATTGAATAGGGTATCAGCACAATTAACACTGCTGAAATCTGTCAGAAGCTCAGAGAACACTCCGTACAGCTGTGCAGGCTGCTGAGGAAAAATCTACAGCTTACTGCCAGGGTTGGAATCTGCTTTGTGTGACTGCATAGGTGAGCAGAGCTCAGAACAAAGCAGAAGCAGACTGCTGGGAAGCCACAGAGATGGCCACATCCTGGAGGCAGCAGCTCAAAGCACCCTTCCCCTCTGCTCACCTGGGCAAGCCAGGGAAGTCTTTCCCCAGCAGCACACTCAGCATTTGTCACAAGATGAAATGTGCTTTCTGCTCACTCCTGCTACTGCTGGTTAAATATCTCACAGCAAACCACAAAGTGGAGTTCTTAGCTAGAGAAAAATCGCCAGCATTCCATAATGAACCCTGTGTGAATTATCTTTATTCCCTCATTAAGGGTTTTGTCACAGGCTGTTCTTTCACTGAGGTATTGGAACTGTCCTCCACCCTCCTCTTTGAAGAAAACTTGACTCTGAAGGGCACACAAGTGGTTTTGAGAAAACTAAATCTTGTAAACTGAGTGCTGACTATCAGTGATCTGCTGTATTATTGCCACTTTAGATTCCCTCTCCTTTGTTTCGTTTCTGTGCCCACAAGAAAAAAGACCAAGAGATGCACTGTTGTGCAGATGGCGAGTGCCTAAATGCACGAAGAGGAACGTTCTTGTATTTTAGACTGTGGGCACCTTTCTTCAGCTTCAGCCTGAGAAAAAACCTTTTATTATTTTTGATACTGTAAATCAAACATTTGTGCAGTAGATGATATGAGGTTAGAAGTTAGCAGCAGTAACTTACAGTGTTCATCTTACTGTGCTGTCTGAACTCCGTAGCCTTGAGAGGAGAGGCAGATACCTCTCATATTCCTTTCCTGAAACAGCAAAGTCTTGCTCTAAGAATTCAGCATGACTCTCCTTTGCTGAAAACTCTGCCGCCACCACCAGTTACAGCAGTGCTGGGCTCTGTGCTTATACCTTCAGATACTGTAAGTAGGTTTATGTTTTCAGGTTTCATTGATGAATTCCAGTTAGGCCCAAAGGAGAAGTGTGAATTGCTGTACAACAAAATACCCCGAAGATGCAGACAGGCCCTAAGGGAATCTCCTAAGTGAGGTGCTGACCTTTATGCCTGTGATCTGGTGAAATTAATGAGAGTCTTTCCATTACCATAAGAGTCTGGTTTATGTCTTATGCATCATCTATGAGCATCTTTCATACAAGGCACTGTTTATTGGATACTTCATAATATCCAGAAAATTAAAATCCCAAACTGGAAAGCCTAGATATAATTCCAAGACTGTCTAAAAAACAACTACAACAGCAGAAATAATCTTGGAATGGCCATTAGTTTGCTGTTTGCTTTGTCTCAGTGAATTTCAGTGTTAACATCTGTTCTCTTCAATATTTTTTCTGTTTTTCCAAGATTTTAAAATTTAGTGAGGTGGGTAGAAGAGTTTTATAATAATTTGATAAATAAAAAAATGTTTACTTTTGCAGATTCTGGATAAAGCACAATTATCACTGTAAAGAAGTCACAGTCTAGTTGTAATGTTTTCACATGGTGTTTCAACATGTAATGTCTCAGATTACTGACACTAGAAGAAAAAGTTCCCTCTCACAGAAGGTTCAACTCCTGTGATTTTCCTCTTTCTGCAGCAGATTGTTCATGAGCCATCAGTGAAAAAGAAAATACTAGAAAATATTTTTATATAGTCAACATGTTGTTAAGAAAAAAAAAAAAAAAAGCATCAGAAGCATCAATACTGTTGGGTGTCTGAAACAAGGTCTAACTCTTTTCTTTTGTAAAACTGACCAAAGCATCAACAATGCCTCTTATCTAATTAAACACAATGCACTGTTGCTTTTCAGATGGTGTCCTGGCTCTCAAGCCCGCTTTGCTGCAGGACCAAACGCAGCTGAGGGCCCACAGGGCCACACGATGTCGCTGCCCAGCCATGAGCACTTTGCAGAGGCAGCCCCCAAGGGAACGGCAGCACAGCACACAGCTGGGCGTCCAGAGCAGGGATGTGAGCAAACAGGGCTGGTTTTCCTGGAGTAACAGCAGAGGAGCTTGAGTTCAAATCCTACGTGCTAGGGAAGAAAGACTGAAATCTGGTTCTGAAGAATGTGAGCGCTGGTTTTTTGTCAGTGGCTCAGACATGAACAGTTAGAAAAGCAGAGAAAGCTGGATCAAAGCATGACAAGCCTGACAGTGCTGCAATTAAAGAAGTATAGGATCCTTTGTATAAGATCCTGGGCTCTCCTTCCCAGAAATCCAAACAGGGGTGATGGTCAGAGCAGCCACAGTGCAGCGAGGCCCAGGCTGCACTCAGTGGCAGAGTGAAACTGAAAGAAATGGATTTACCTAAATGGACACAATCTGTTCTATTTCTAATGTAGGGAATATGACTAACAGTTCAACTTTCCCCTCTGACAAACACTTCTGAAAGAATGAAAAAAAAAAAGTCAAAACACTAACGATACAGAATCAGTACAAACTGCCTTGCTTTCAGATTTTGAGGTGTTTTCATGAACTGTGCTTACAAGGAAACACTCGAGGCTTTGCTGATTCTCAGCAGCCATGTGAGCTTCATGGTTTTAATGCTTATTCCGGCTGCAAAAGGGTGCAGTTAGCTACTGCAAATATGTAACAGAGCTGGAACAACTGTGGAAGTCAGTAACGTTCTAGTGGCTACACCACCACTGCACTTGTTTTTTTCTGCAATGCTATTTAAATCACAGAGGAATGCATACGATGCCTTATAATAGCATATGATGCCTTATAATACACATGCCATCGAGAGAATTTTTGGACTCAACATCTACTGCGCAGTAGCAGTAAGCTGGATCAGAAAATAAATTTCTAATTGAAGTGGACAGATGTGAACATATGTGGATAGAAATCTTTACTTTTAAGAGTGCCATCCTTTGTTGCTGAGGAACATGAAAGGACATAATTGAGCTTTCTAACACAACCCAGATGCACAAGCCAACCACGAAAGGCTTTGGACTGCCATAGATATACAGTGCATTTTACAGGGCACGTGAATAAAACTCAAAGCCCTGTGCAGCTTTCAGATCACATAGCTGCAATAGAAAACTGTTGTGATAACCTTCCCTAAGGCCTCCTTTGTATGTAAGCTGTTCATTCGACTCCTAATACAATATACAAAACTCAGCACTTTTTTTGCTGAATCAGTTTCTTCCATGCTTTAAAATTTGCTGTACTACTTGCCACAGCAAATGGCATCAGCTCTAACTTCATCAAAGCAGGTGCTCACTTCAACCCCTTCTAAAACCTCTGGTCTGAGGAACAAGCATAATTCTCTATGAATCAGCCTATCTGACCTGATATTTTCATCTAAGCTATTCATTATTCACAGGGAAATAACAGCTCAGTGAGGCTGGGTGTTCACCACAGTTCTCCTTCCTGTGATGCCTTGTTTTGACTAAGCTCTTCATGCTGTAATATATGGCCATATTGCTACAGTAATTTAAATATAACACAAACATCTGTTATAGCAAAGGAAAAGCTCACCTCTTCTTTCTCATCTGAGGCCACAAGGATTACTCTGTTACTTGGCCTTTATGCATTCCTTTCCTTTGCCCACTGCCAAGTTTACCTATGCCTGTACTTACCCAAGCAGGTATTAGTTCTGCTACTCTCTGCATGGTGCTCTTGAGCCAACAATCTCACTGTTGATAAGGGTACAAAATCTTATCTAGATCACAGAAAAGAAGAACTTATACCTAGATTCTTCTTAGCCCAGTGTTATACAGAGAACAATATTTTTCCCTGTAACACAATGAAGACATGAATAGACGCTTTTCTTACACAATATTTAAAAACCCACATGTGATGTCTGCATGAGTGAATTACTGAAATAAAAACCAACCAACCACAACAGCAAACAGAAGAACCCCTCACAACCAAGGGGAAAAGGAAAACATCAAGCCGACCTGAGTTTCATCTTCTAATTAACCTTCAGTTACAGGGTTAAAACAGCTCTGCTAGAGATGAGTGCTGCTCAGCCTGTGATTCATGGGCTTCCAACAGGCTGTTATTGAAAGACAGCCTGCAAAGCAACCACCCGCTCCTGGCTGAGTCTGTTAATTTGAGAGATGTAAACATCAGAATTACATTTTTATAGAACAAGGATTTTAAACTCAAATACTGGTAGTCATAATAGGAAACTTGAGGTTTTATAAAACAACATTTAGCTTTTCCTAATGCTATGTCCTTTGCTATTACCATTCTTCTCCTCCTCTTCTGCCACTGCCAAAAAATACAGAGTAGAAGCAAGCCTTTTTTTCCCCGACAGCCTCAGCTGGTTCTCCAGCAGAACTGACCTCATAGGGATCACCAGTCAGAGATAAAAGTACATTCTTGCAAGAAACAAAAAAAAAAGCTGGCATTTGAAATTGATGAAACTAATTACATAAGGACCTGAATAAGAGGAAGTTCATGTTTACTTCATGGTTTTTTGGTAAGTTATGTCTGTCAAATAATTCTGAGTTATACAGAAGTGAAGAGCAACTGGCAAGAGTGGAAGTATTTAAGAAGAATCTTAGTGAAAGAAAACTGACGGTATTTCTAACGAATATTTGTTGCTCTGCTAAATTAAAAGCTAAATGGCTAACTCAAGCTTCTGCAAGCTTCTTTACAAGCTTCTGTGATGGAGGTGATTCAGGGTACGTCTACACTGTACTGTGCCTCTGAGTAATGGCTCGTGTTTGTGGGTGGATGCTAGCTAAACCTGCCTTGAAAGCACGCG